CACAGAGGAGAAGTATGAACTGCTGCACGTGCTGGAGTTTACAAGGTAAATAAAAGTGATGGTAGAGGCTGCTGAGTAAAGAGTCCATCAGTATTAACTCATCCATTCATACACATTCACACGCTGATGGTAGAGGCCGCTGAGTAAAGAGTCCATCAGTATTAACTCATCCATTCATACACATTCACACGCTGATGGTAGAGGCTGCTGAGTAAAGAGTCCATCAGTATTAACTCATCCATTCATTCACACGCTGATGGTAGAGGCTGCTGAGTAAAGAGTCCATCAGTATTAACTCATCCATTCATACACATTCACACACTGATGGTAGAGGCTGCTGAGTAAAGAGTCCATCAGTATTAACTCATCCATTTTTTACCCTCGTGATTCCAAATTATTAACTGTTTGAGCGAGGTGAGACAGCTCGTTAGTTTTTAATGTCGGAAGATAAACACAACACCCCCTCTCTCTCCCCCCCTCTCCCCTCTCTCCCCCCCCTCTCTCTCTCTCTCCTCCCCCCTCTCCCCTCCTTCTCCCCCCCTCTCCCTCTCTCTGTCTCTCCCCCTCTCCCTCTCTCTGTCTCTCCCCCTCTCTCTCTCTCCCCCCTCTCCCTCTCTCTCTCTTCCCCCCTCTCTCTCTCTCCCCCTCTCCCTCTCTCTGTCTCTTCCCCTCTCCCCTCTCTCTCCCCCCCTCTCCCTCTTTCTCTCCCCCCTCTCCCTCTCTCTCTTCCCCCCCTCCCTCTTTCTCTCCCCCTCTCTCTCTCCTCCTCTCTCCCCCCTCTCCCTCTCTCTCTTCCCCCCTCTCCCTCTCTCTCTCCTCTCCTCCCCTTCTCTCTTCCCCCCTCTCCCTCTCTCTGTCTCTCCCCCTCTCCCTCTCTCTTCCCCCCTCTCCCTCTCTCTGTCTCTCCCCCTCTCCCTCTCTCTTCCCCCCTCTCTCTGTCTCTCCCCCTCTCCCTCTCTCTTCCCCCCTCTCTCTGTCTCTCCCCCTCTCTCTCTCCTCTCTCTCTCCCCCCTTCTCCTCTCAGCACCAGGAAGAGGATGTCAGTCATCATGCGCGCACCATCTGGAAAGATCCGCCTCTACTGCAAAGGAGCTGTGAGTGTCTGTCTGTCTCCATGGCAACCCATGATAGCCCATCACCACCATGTTCCCCACACACACACACACACACACACACACACACACACACATACACACTCACACACAGACACACACAGAGACACACACACACACACACACACACACACACACACACACACACATGCTGCGTCCAATCGCTCTCCATCCTCGTTGCCTCGCCATGTCAGGAAATGTTTAAAATGAGCATAATCAAAATTTAGAATCAGTTTCATTGGCCACGCATGTGAGCAATCAACCGTCAGTCAAGCCCCGCCCCCCTTGGTTACTGTTACTAGGCTACATCTCCCGTCTGAAACAGTTTAAATTCCTCGAGAGCTGACGACCTTTTTCTGTTTTTAACGGATTAGATTCTAAGCTGATTGGTTGATCACAGTGAGGGCTCCTTCAAACACATTTACCCAGAAGCCCCAGGTCCAGGTGGTTGCTGCGTGTCAGTAACCATGGCGTGTTTGTTTTTCCTTCAGGACACGGTGATCTACGACCGCCTGGCGGACAGCTCGAGGTACAAAGAGATCACACTGAAGCACCTGGAACAGTTTGCAACCGAGGGTGAGTGGATCACCATCGCCCCCTGTCTGCGCTTTGAGGGATAACACCTGTTTTTAACACGTGCTCCTCCCTCCTCTCTCCTTTCTCCTCGCTCTCCTTTCTCCTCCCTCTCTTTCTCCTCGCTTTCTTTTCTCCTCCCTCTCCTTTCTCCTCCCTCTCCTTTCTCCTCCCTCTCTTTCTCCTCGCTCTCTTTTCTCCTCCCTCTCCTTTCTCCTCGCTCTCCTTTCTCCTCCCTCTCTTTCTCCTCGCTCTCTTTTCTCCTCCCTCTCTTTCTCCTCCCTCTCCTTTCTCCTCCCTCTCTTTCTCCTCCCTCTCTTTCTCCTCCCTCTCTTTCTCCTCGCTCTCTTTTCTCCTCCCTCTCCTTTCTCCTCGCTCTCCTTTCTCCTCCCTCTCTTTCTCCTCGCTCTCTTTTCTCCTCCCTCTCTTTCTCCTCGCTCTCCTTTCTCCTCCCTCTCTTTCTCCTCACTCTCCTTTCTCCTCCCTCTCTTTCTCCTCGCTCTCTTTTCTCCTCCCTCTCTTTTCTCCTCCCTCTCTTTCTCCTCGCTCTCCTTTCTCCTCCCTCTCTTTCTCCTCACTCTCCTTTCTCCTCCCTCTCTTTCTCCTCACTCTCCTTTCTCCTCGCTCTCCTTTCTCCTCCCTCTCCTTTCTCCTTGCTCTCTTTCTCCTCCCTCTCTTTTTTTCCTCCCTCTCTTTCTCCTCCCTCGCTTTCTCCTCGCTCTCTTTTCTCCTCGCTCTCTTTTCTCCTCCCTCTCTTTTGTCTCTGTTGTTTATCCCGACTCGGCCATGAGGAGTTCCCCTTTCCTTTAAACGGCTGCACAGCGAGCAGGTTTTCTCCTCGCTACAGACGCCCCCTGGTGGTCTGTGCTGATACCGCCCCCTGGTGATCTGTGCTGATACCGCCCCCCCTGGTGGTCTCTGTTGATACCGCCCCCTGGATCTGTGCTGATACCGCCCCCTGGTGGTCGGTGCTGATACCGCCTCCTGGTGGTCGGTGCTGATACCGCCCCCTGGTGGTCGGTGCTGATACCGCCCCCTGGTGATCTGTGCTGATACCGCCCCCCCCTGGTGGTCTCTGTTGATACCGCCCCCTGGTGATCTGTGCTGATACCGCCCCCTGGTGATCTGTGCTGATACCGCCCCCTGGTGGTCTGTGCTGATACCGCCCCCTGGTGGTCTGTGCTGATACCGCCCCCTGGTGATCTGTGCTGATACCGCCCCCTGGTGGTCTGTGCTGATACCGCCCCCTGGTGATCTGTGCTGATACCGCCTCCTGGTGGTCGGTGCTGATACCGCCCCCTGGTGGTCTGTGCTGATACCGCCCCCTGGTGATCTGTGCTGATACCGCCCCTGGTGGTCTGTGCTGATACCGCCCCCTGGTGATCTGTGGCTGATACCGCCCCTGTGGTCGGTGCTGATACCGCCCCCTGGTGATCGTGCTGATAGCCCCCTGGTGGTCTCTGTGATACGCCTCCTGGTGATCTGTGCTGATACCGCCCCCTGGTGGTCGGTGCTGATACCGCCCCCTGGTGATCTGTGCTGATACCGCCCCCTGGTGATCTGTGCTGATACCGCCCCCCCCTGGTGGTCTCTGTTGATACCGCCTCCTGGTGATCTGTGCTGATACCGCCCCCTGGTGATCTGTGCTGATACCGCCCCCTGGTGATTGTGCTGATACCGCCCCCTGGTGATCTGTGCTGATACCGCCTGGTGATCTTGTGCTGATACCGCCCCTGGTGATCTGTGCTGATACCGCCTCCTGGTGATCTGTGCTGATACCGCCCCCTGGTGATCTGTGCTGATACCGCCCCCTGGTGATCTGTGCTGATACCGCCCCCCTGGTGGTCTCTGTGATACCGCCCCCTGTGATCTGTGCTGATACGCCCCTGGTGCTGTGCTGATACCGCCCCTGTGTGATCTGTGCTGATACCGCCCCCCCCTGGTGGTCTCTGTTGATACCGCCCCCTGGTGGTCGTGCTGATACCGCCCCCTGGTGATCTGTGCTCCCTGTGTCTCTGTTGATACGCCCCCTGGTGATCTGTGCTGATACCGCCCCCCTGGTGGTCTCTGTTGATACCGCCCCCTGTGATCTGTGCTGATACCGCCTCCTGGTGATCTGGCTGATACCGCCTCTGGTGATCTGTGCTGATACCCCTGGTGGTCTCTGTTGATACCGCGCCCCCTGGTGGTCGGTGCTGATACCGCCCCCTGGTGGTCTCTGTTGATACCGCGCCCCTGGTGGTCGTGCTGATACCGCCCCCTGGTGGTCGGTGCTGATACCGCCCCCTGGTGGTCTGTGCTGATACCGCCCCCTGGTGGTCGGTGCTGATACCGCCCCCTGGTGATCTGTGCTGATACCGCCCCCCCTGGTGGTCTCTGTTGATACCGCCTCCTGGTGATCTGTGCTGATACCGCCCCCTGGTGGTCGGTGCTGATACCGCCCCCTGGTGATCTGTGCTGATACCCCCCCCCCTGGTGGTCTTTGATACCGCCTCCTGGTGATCTGTGCTGATACCGCCCCCTGGTGATCTGTGCTGATACCGCCCCCCCTGGTGGTCTCTGTTGATACCGCCCCCTGGTGGTCGGTGCTGATACGCGCCCCTGGTGATCTGTGCTGATACCGCCCCCCCTGGTGGTCTCTGTTGATACCGCCCCCTGGTGATCTGTGCTGATACGGCCCCCCCTGGTGGTCTCTGTTGATACCGCCCCCTGGTGATCTGTGCTGATACCGCCTCCTGGTGATCTGTGCTGATACCGCCTCCTGGTGATCTGTGCTGATACCGCCCCCTGGTGGTCTCTGTTGATACCGCGCCCCCTGGTGGTCGGTGCTGATACCGCCCCCTGGTGGTCTCTGTTGATACCGCGCCCCCTGGTGGTCGGTGCTGATACCGCCCCCTGGTGGTCGGTGCTGATACCGCCCCCTGGTGGTCTCTGTTGATACCGCGCCCCCTGGTGGTCGGTGCTGATACCGCCCCCTGGTGGTCGGTGCTGATACCGCCCCCTGGTGGTCTCTGTTGATACCGCCCCCTGGTGGTCGGTGCTGATACCGCCCCCTGGTGGTCGGTGCTGATACCGCCCCCTGGTGGTCGGTGCTGATACCGCCCCCTGGTGGCAGAGCAGCAGAAAGCCGTCTCCAAACGAGGGCTAAAAATAGAATTCAGGACAGAGCGTCTCTGTAATTAAAAATAGTCTGAATAAAACATGTTATTACCTGAGAGTTACCTGAGATCAGATCCTGAACCAGAACCAGGACTCTCAGGTCCACTTAAACACCAGATCCTGAATATGATCAGAACCAGGACTCTCAGGTCCACTTAGTTCGTCCCTTTGTGTCAGAGCTAAATGAATTGTAGTAAAGGTCTTCATCTGTGACCCCGGTCTTGTGACTCTGGTCTTGTGACCCCGGTCTTGTGACTCTGGTCTTGTGACCTGGGTCTTGTGATTCTGGTCTTGTGATTCTGGTTTTCCTCCTGCAGGTCTGAGGACTCTGTGCTTTGCGGTGGCTGACGTCAGTGAGTCGTCCTATCAGAACTGGCTGGAGATCCACCACCGAGCGTCCACCTCGCTGCAGAACCGGGCGCTGAAACTGGAGGAGAGCTACGAGCTGATCGAGAAGGTTTGTGAGAGTTCACTTAAAGGGGCGTGCCTGCTGTTGCCATGGTGATGAGAGTTCATATAAAGGGGCGTGCCTGCTGTTGCCATGGTGATGAGAGTTCATGTAAAGGGGCGTGCCTGCTGTTGCCATGGTGATGAGAGTTCATGTAAAGGGGCGTGCCTGCTGTTGCCATGGTGATTTCAGAAAGCCCAAAACAAACGGACTGAGAGAGACTCTGCTGAGGGCTGAAATACACAGAAACACCACACGGGGGCGCTGTGGAGTCACCACCAGTGTTACAGGACCAGATACAGGACTAGATACAGGACTAGTTACATGACCAGATACAGGACCAGATGCAGAACCAGGAACAGGACTAGTTACATGACCAGATACAGGACCAGATGCAGAACCAGGAACAGGACTAGTTACATGACCAGATACAGGACCAGATGCAGAACCAGGAACAGGACTAGTTACATGACCAGATACAGGACCGGATACAGGACCAGATGCAGAACCAGGAACAGGACCAGATACAGAACCAGATACAGGGCCAGATACAGGACCAGATACAGGACCAGATACAGGACCGGATACAGGACCGGATACAGGACCGGATGCAGGATCAGATACAGGATCAGGTACAGGACTAGATACAGGACCAGATACAGGTTTTTAAGGAGCTCTGAGACTTATTTAAACTGTTTGAAGAGGAGGAGGGTCTGGGTTAGAGTCTGACCCTCTGCTGACGGTCTGAGACTTTAATGATTCATTAATCTCAGAGTCTGAACGATCCTGTCTGCGTCACAGCGCTGTGCGTCGGGTTTGAGTGGGCTCCTCTCAGGTAGACGCCCTGATGGTTTCTGCTGGATCACAGCATCTGATACCTGAAACACATCACCAGCCATTTATCTAAATCATCAGGAAATAAGACCCAGTCCTCCTCGCCATCTCACAAGTACCAATGCAGTCTAGTTCTGAGTCCTGGACTGGAGTTCTGCAGCGCCCCCTCCTACACAGAGGTCTTAGTCGTTCCTCTGCACAGGGACGAGTACGTCCAGATGTGTAGCGAGGACGCTCTCTCCTTAAGACGATGGAAAACTTTAACAGAGTGTGGATAGAGGCTGGTGGTCAGGACCCTCCTTGCTTGGGGGGTCCTGATCTAAGTGGTTCCTATATAATAATTCACAAAGACACCCAGAGGAAGAGGAGACCCTGATAACGAGGATTCCTCAGATGCGGTCCTGTTGGTCCTCAGGCCAAGCTTTCCCGTGCTGCCTGGTTCTGACTGATTAGAGGACGGAGCTGCACATGTTCAGGCAGACCGGTCTACCGCTGGCTTTCCTCTGCTGCTGGCTCCTGTCTCCCCTTTGCCCCTGGGTCTTGTCAAATCTGAGTACCCGTGATGGCCCCATTTAAGACCACATGCAACGAGCCGAGAAACCACCAGGACCCTGGGAAAAACACAGGCCGGGCTTTGTGGGTGTGCTGGTGTGTCTGCAGAAACACACACACTCATTCAGAGGAACACACCCAAACCTCTGAAGCCTGAGCCGGGTCAGAGCCTGTGCCGGGTTCACTGTGTGATAAAGAAGAGGGGGGGGGGGTTACATGTTTCTCTGACACATGACGTTCTAAAGGCCTTCCTCTGTTCTGATCTTTCATTTAAACTTTTCTTTCCTCTCGTTTTGTAGAACCTGCAGCTCCTGGGAGCCACCGCCATCGAGGACAAGCTCCAGGATAAAGTCCCCGAAACCATCGAGACCCTGATCAAGGCGGACATCAAGATCTGGATCCTGACGGGGGACAAACAGGAAACAGCTATCAACATCGGTGAGACTCAGGGAAGGCTGTGTTTATCTCTTGACAGACAGGAAGTGTAGGGAGGGGGGCGACATGTAGCCGAGGTCGGATTTGAACCCACAGCCGCTACAACATAACCGCTAAGCCATCTGGCGCCCAGAGGCTGTTGGTATTCAGGGTGTTCCTGACGCCACATGGTTACTGACTCCTCCGTCCTGTTGATTAAATGAAAATGGATCCTAAAGGTCTGGATGAATGATCGAGGGAGCTCTGCGGACGCTCGCTGCATGTTTTTCTACAGGTCAGCTGTTACTCACTGAAAGACGATCCCATTGGCCCGTTGGAAGAGATACTGGTGCACTGGAGTGATGCTGTCAATCCATCACATTCTCATGATCGTATGTTTGGGGGCTTGAACCTCCTCGTTCTACGTTAGGCCCCCGTTCTTTCTCCTTCCCGGTACGTGGTCTTTATTCTGACCTCTGACGGAGCGTCTCTTTACAGTCACTGACGCTCAGAGGTCAGAGGTCGCTGTGACGTCCCCAGCGCCGTTTAGTTCTGCCTGAGAGGGAGAGGTCTGGTCTGCTGTAAACACGTGAAGCGGAAGGGCTGTGGCGGGAATCGTCGTGGACGTGGACGTGTTGAGAGGTGGAGACGCTATCCTCACATTTTGGGAAGTTTGCACCTTTAAACTAAAGAAAACAATCTGGCAGACCCCGACCCTGTTTAGCTTTAGCTCTCTCATTTCCTCCCCCCCGTGTGTGTAGTGTGTGTGTGTGTGTAGTATCGAGTGTGTGTCTGTGTGGTATCGAGTGTGTGTCTGTGTGTGTGTAGTATCGAGTGTGTGTCTGTGTGTGTGTAGTATCGAGTGTGTGTCTGTGTGTGTGGTATCGAGTGTGTGTCTGTGTGTGTGTAGTATCGTGTGTGTCTGTGTGTGTGTAGTATCGAGTGTGTGTCTGTGTAGTATCGAGTGTGTGTCTGTGTGTGTGTAGTATCGAGTGTGTGTCTGTGTGTGTGTATTCTTATCTCAGAAGATGTCGACCTCCTGCTCAGACAGAAGCAAAGTGTTGAAGCCTACAAACACAGCCAGACGTTTCAAACTGAAGGATTCAGTCTCCACCTCGCCGCTGACCCTTAGCATCTGTCCCAGCCAAGAGCTGAGGGCGGCACTCCCCAGAGGGGAACTCTGGGTTGGTGGGGGGGGTTAGGGTTAGCCTATTAAAACAGGAAACTGACGGACCCTCATCAGTCATGTCACTGGCTCTGAGCTGTAACGTTTTAATTGGTGTTCCTTAAAGATCGTCTACATCAACCCTCGGTAGGGCGCCAAAGTGCACCAACCCAAATTCCTCTGTACTGTGTACTTCCTCTGTTTAAGTAAAATAATGTACCACCATGTGACGCAGTGATGCAGCTGTGATTGGACATTTCCTGCACAGCGTCACACTAACCTTCCCGCCTTTTTAAGGCTGATACTGAGACTTTATGTCACTTCCTGTTTGTCTGTTTCTGCAGGTCACTCCTGCAAACTGCTGACCAAGAACATGGGCATGCTGGTGATCAATGAAGACACTCTGGATGTGAGTGTTCAGACAAATGTTCAACCTTCATGTGGGCTCATTTATTCATCATCCTCGTTTAGAGTCGACATGAACGACTTTAAATATCTTTAACACCTGGCTGTAAAACATGACATCATGAGGATGTCCTGTAAGGTGATAACCCCCTCATCTCATCCCCCCCCCATGCAAGACATAAAAACATCTCAAGCCACAGGAAGTCCTCCACACGCTGCCACCAGGAACCCTAAGACCCGAACGTCTTAAAGACCCCCAGCAGGGATGTCTGTTGACCCCCAGCAGGGATGTCTGTTGACCCCCCAGCAGGACGCCTTGTCTGTTGTTTCAGAGACTGAAAAGGGGAAGCTCCCTGTTGATCCGCAGATGGAGTAGGAACTCAACTGGGTTTAGTTTGAGAGACGGGGGGCGGGGGGGGGGGCGATGACGGACGGCCTTCACTCTGTCAGCCCGTCGTTAAGCGTGATAAATGGAGCCGAGGTAGAAACTCGGGGTCGGTGCTTTGTAATGTCAGCTCTGATTCTCCTGTGGTTGAGCAAACCGCAAACTAAACTAAACTAACCCTCTCCAGCTGGACTGAGGAGGTCCAGAGCAACAAACAGACAACAATAAATAAATACATCAAGACGTCAGAATGAAAGTCAGACGATGACTGACTGAAGGAGACATGATGGATAAAATGCAAAGATGGCAGGGAGGCCTTCAGATAAAATCAGTCTCTAACAGACTGATGCAGCCGAGGAGGCAGAGCAACAAACACTCGGCCTGCTTTGGTTTTTAAGTTGGAGGTGTGAACAGAGAGGAGGTTCCTGCTAATGGGGATCCTAACACACACACACACACACACACACACACACACACACACACACTCGTCTCCCTGTACACGGCCGCCTGTCTTCCCGCTCAGCGTCTCCTCGTGGTTTACAGACCCCTTCAGGGATGGTTAAATCCATGCAGCTGCTCGAGTTCTCTTGCTCAGTTTCTGTGAATCCATCATCTCTCTCTCTCTCTCTCTCTCTCTCGCTCAGTGAAATATACTTTGTCATGCCTTACCGTCCCCCCCTGTACAATCTGACGGCGTTGACACCCCCTCCTGCTAATGTCCACCATCTTTCATGATGTCAGCAGTTTGAGAGTCTGCACATTCACTTCAACCTGTACAGATTCTTCCACAACACTTTTATTTGTTTGCTTCTCATATTAAAATAAAGTTATAGGATCCCCCCCCCCCTTCTGATGGCTTCACCATCTGTGTCTCGCCGTCAGTGTGATATTTACATCATCACAGCTGTTTACTGTACTAGCGACCGGGTCGATGTTTTCACCTCAGAAGACGGACGACCATGTCTCTGATAACATTAATGATATATCTGTGAAATAAAGCACTGATGAACTCACCCTAACTCTTTGATGAAATGCCCCCCCACAGAGAACGAGGGAAACGCTCAGCCACCACTGTGGACTGCTGGGCGACGCCCTCCACAAGGAGAACGACTTTGCGCTCATCATTGACGGGAAGACGCTGAAATACGCCCTCTCGTTCGGGGTGCGACAGTACTTTCTGGACCTCGCCCTGTCCTGTCGAGCCGTCATATGCTGCAGGTAAGATTCACTCCTGAAACGCCGCCGCCGCCGCCATCGGCAGAGACGTCATGTAACCAAAGTTTCTGTGTTTAATAAAAACACGACTCAGGGGTCGGACCTTTAAAATGAAATGTTAAGGCCTCAGAGGGCTGCCCTCCGTCACTGGATCTGACCTTTGACCTTTGAGGTTAAAGTGCTGTAACAGAGACTCGACCTCTCGACGGTCTCCCACCTTCAGGATGTTCAAGATGTTTATAAAGTTTCAGTCCTTAAACCCCAGACTAACTGTTCCTCACCTGCTGCTCCCCGTCAGAGTGTCTCCTCTTCAGAAGTCCGAGGTCGTGGAGATGGTCAAGAAGCAGGTGAAGGTGATCACGCTCGCCATCGGTGACGGTGCTAACGACGTGGGGATGATCCAGACGGCTCATGTCGGGGTGGGAATCTCAGGCAACGAGGGCCTGCAGGCTGCAAACTCCTCGGACTACTCCATCGCCCAGGTGAGCCGAGACACGACCACTGATGTGAGGCTGATTCAACCTTCCATGTTACAGCGACAGGAGTGATGTCATCACACTGGATTAGTCTGTTAATATGGGACCAGCAGCAATAAAACAAAACATTCCCTGTTATCTGTAACCCTGATTAGAGACGTTATCGTCACAGATATTAGCTGGCCTTAAAGGCTTTAAATGTGATTCTTTTCTCCAGCAGATGTCGCCCTTGAGCACCAGCATGAAACCAAAACAATGCGCTGCATTGTTGTGTTAGCATGCTAATGCTAGCGATCTTTATTATGCTGGTATCTTCACACTGCATGTAAATTTACCTGAAATGAGCGTAATCTAGAAACACAGTTAAGCAGTGAGTACAGTATGTTATTCTTCTTTTCTCTAGTCCCTCAATTAAACAACTTTTATACACGAGGGGAGGAGTCAGCCGGCCGTCCGGGCGATGTAAACAAAGTGAAGATAGGACTCTGAAAACTCTGAAAACATCACAGACAGTGGGAATTCAATTCAATTTCAATTCAATTTATTTTTGTATAGCGTCAACTCATAACAAGTGTTATCTCAAGACACTTTACAAAAAGCAGGTAAAAGACCTTACTCATTGTTATGTTCCAAAAAGCAGGTAAAAGACCTTACTCATTGTTATGTTCCAAAAAGCAGGTAAAAGACCTTACTCATTGTTATGTTCCAAAAAGCAGGTAAAAGACCTTACTTATTGTTATATTACATAAGACCCGGTCTATCCATCATGAGCACTTTAGCAAAGCAGCAAAAGTTACAGTGGTAAGAAAAAACTGTCTTATTAAAAGGCAGAAATCTTCGGCTGGATCCCCGGCTCATGATGAAACAGCCTTCACAGGCCTAGACTGCACCGGGCTTGGAAAGGGATAGGGGGAGAGATGGGATAAGATGCAGGAAGAGGGATAGGGAGCAAGGGGTGGGGGGAGGCAAGCCATCCATCAACAATCCGGTGGGGGGGGGGTTGTTCTGGCAGGCCGTCAACCAACGATCTTGAGGAGCCTAAGAGAGCTCAAGAGCTCTCAGGAAAGTAGGTGGTTAGTGACTGAGATTTACAGATAGATACATGCAGTAATAAGATGTACTGTATATACAGAGAGAGAGAGAGAGAGAGAGAAACAGAGAGAGAGAGAGAGAGAGGCGCTCAAGGTGCCAGTTCCCCTGGTAGTCTAAGCCTATAGCAGCATAGCTAAGAGCTGGTCTACACCAGCACTAACTATAAGATTTATCAAAAAGGAAAGTTTTAAGTCTATTCTTAAAAATACAGACTGTGTCTGCCTCCTGGACCCCGGCTGGAAGGCGGTTCCAGAGGAGAGGAGCCCGATAACTGAAGGCTTTACCCCCATAGTACACTTAGAGACTGTAGGTATGCCTGGCCATTTAGAGCTTTGTAGGTGAGAAGAAGGATCTTGAATTCTATTCTAGACTGTATAGGGAGCCAGTGCAGAGAAGCCAGGATAGGAGTGATGTGGTCCCTTTTCCTGGTTCTGGTCAGTACACGAGCTGCAGCGTTCTGGACCAGTTGAAGAGTCTTTAGAGACTTACCAGAGCACCCTGACAAAAGAGAGTTACAATAATCCAGTCTGGAGGTAACAAATGCATGAACTAGTTTTTCTGCATCATTTTGCGACAGGATATTCCTGATCTTAGATATATGACGGAGGTGAAAATAGGCTGTTCTTGAATCTTGACTGATGTGAGAGCTAAAAGACATATCTTGATCAAAAAGAACTCCTACATTCCTAACAGTGGTGCTAGATGCCAGGCTGATGTCACTAAGGACAGTCAAATCACTAGAAAAAGTCTCTCTGAGGTTCTTAGGGCCTAGCACAATAACTTCAGTCTTGTCTGAGTTAAGTAGCAAAACATTTCTGTAAAGGAATACAAGGCTCAATGGAGCCATGACTCTCTGTCAGCCTGGCTGCAATGCTGAAAAGGTATCTAGGATTGCCTTTGTTTTCCTCAATTAGAGAGGAGTAGTAGGCAGCTCGAGCGTGACATAGAGCCTTCATATATCTTCTATGACTATCCTGCCAGAAAAAACGAGATTCTACCATTTTGGTCGAGCGCCATATTCTTGCAAAATTCCGCGACGATTGTTTTAGAGTACAGGTTTCTGAGTTGAACCATGGAGCCACTCTCCGCCGCTTGACAACCCTCCGTTCCAGGGGAGCAATCAAATCCAGAGTAACTCTCAGTGAATCCACTGCACTATCAACAAACTGATCTAGCTGAGAGGGACTAAAGCTATCATAAGAGTTTCCAATTGGGTTGAAACACGGTACTGAATCAAAAGCAGCTGAAATAGCTTCCTTAAATCTAGCTACAGCACTATCAGATAAACTTCTAGAGAGCACATTTTTATTAAGCAGAGATAATTCTGGTAGGACAAAATCGAATGTAATAAAAAAATGGTCTGATAGAAGAGGATTTTCTAGGAAAACTGTAAGGTTTTGGATTTCAGTGTCATAAGCTAAAACAAGATCCAGGGTGTGGTTGAAACGATGAGTAGGTTCGTTTACACCCTGGGTGAAACCAGTAGAGTCTAATAATGACATGAAAGCTGTGCTAAGGCTATCATTATCAACATCCACATGGATATTGAAGTCACCTACAACAATTATTCTATCACTGCTAAGGACTGAATCTGATAAAAATTCTGCAAATTCAGATAGAAACTCAGAATATGGGCCAGGAGGGCGGTAAACTACAACAACTAGAACTGGCTGAAAGGTTCTTGAGACTGGATGTGAAAGACTAAGAACAAGGCTTTCAAAAGAAGAAAAATTCAGCTTTGGTCGAGGGTTAACTAGAAGACCAGAATTAAAAATAGCTGCTACTCCACCACCTCGTCCGGTGTCTCGAGGTATATGAGTACTAAAATGACTGGGAGGAGTGGATTCATTTAAACTAACATATTCATCTCGACACAGCCAGGTTTCAGTCAAACAAAGTAAATCAATATGCTGATCTGATATCAGATCATTCACTAAAAGAGATTTGGATGCTAAGGACCTAATGTTCAAAAGTCTGCAGTGAATCTTCTGATTTTTTAGCAAAATCATATTCGTAGTTTTGATTCTAATAAGATTTTGACGATTTACGCCTTTTCTTTCTTCGTTTGGATGACTTATAAAAACGGGTCTGGGCCGGGGGACAGACACAGTACCTATAGTATAACTACAGAACTTCAGAATTACAGCTATAGTGACTGGGAGACAGATCTAAGTGTAAGACTGCAGCTCTGCCTCCTGGTCTGAACTCTGTGTTGTTGTCAAGGTTTTGGACTAATAACCTCTGCTATGTTTCTAGATAATAGAGCTGCACCGTCCAAAGTGGGATGGATGCCGTCTCTAGCTAGCAGACCAGGTTTTCCCCAAAAAGACTGCCAGTTATCTATGAAGCCCACATCGTGTGCTGGACACCACCTCGACAGCCAGCGGTTGAGTGATGACATGCGGCTATACATGTCATCACTGGTCTGATTTGGGAGGGTCCAGAGAACACTACGGAGAAGGGATGGATGTTTGTTTAAAATACTTGGGAACATAGAAGTGAAAGAACAGTTCAAATGTTAAGAAGGGCGGCGGTGTGCAGGTGCATGTCCTCCCTCTGAAATCCATGCTCATAACTCAGATCATCCCACAGAGGATCAGTCCTCGGGGTCAGGGATAGCGTTCCTCATTGTTCTCTCTGACATTACAGAAGATGTTTCAGAGAAGTAGTTACACCTGTTGAACATGCCCATCACTATACACACACACACACACACACACACACACACACACAGCTAACTGCTTCATTACGACCCATCAGTGAGCAGGCTGTGTGAGAAACCAAATACAGCCCCAGCAGCTACAGCCACGGAGCTCCTGTGTCACTTCTCTAAACGCACACCACTCAGCCTCTGTGAGCCGCCATGCTGTTTCCATTTCAAAGACCCGGGTTAGCCTTAAGTGCCCCCTTCACTCGGCAGCTGGCCTCCCATAGTCCAGGACGGTCTCATGAAGTTCCACCTCCCCGGGCGCTGGTGTAACGCTACATTTCCTGTAATCAGCAGACGGCAGACTGAGAGCTTTGGTGGAAGTTGTGTGACTTTGTTTTAGGATCCCTGAACATGATTTATTCTCATCGTATCAGAGGAGGAGGCTGCTGCAGGGAGCCGGCACCTCTGCTCTCCGTCTGTCAGCAGCTCAGCTCTGTGTTAACTGATGTCTGATCTCATCTGTCTGAGGGGGGTCACACGGGGGGGGGGGGGCTTTACTGAAGGATCCTGTTTGAAATGTTGAGAGACAAGAAGCCTGAAAACAAACAGAAACACGTCCCACTTCCTGTCATTAACCGGCATTAACAGCGAGGATGAAGCAGCACAGAACCTGAAGGCTGCTGTTTTTATAAAACCATTTCACTGTCCTGCCGAGACCTCCAAGCTGGACCTCTCTGGACCACCAAGCCTGATCCGGCTGCTTTCTTTAAACCTGAAGTTCTTAAAGCTCCTTACTGATCCTGGTCTTTTACCTGCTTTTTGTAACATAACAATGAGTAAGGTCTTTGCTCTCTGACCCTGAGGACCAATCAGACGCTTCACTGAGTCTCTAGCTGTTCATTCATTCTGCTCTTTTCTCCCTCACAGTTCAAATACTTGAAGAATTTGCTGCTGGTCCATGGAGCGTGGAATTATAACCGTGTGGCCAAGTGTATCCTGTACTGCTTCTACAAGAACATCGTCCTCTACATCATCGAGGTGAGTCTCTCTCAGTCCTGCAGCGAGGCCAGGAGTCCTGTAGTGAGACCAGGAGTCCTGCAGCGAGGCCAGGAGTCCTGCAGTGAGACTAGGAGTCCTATAGTGAGATCAGGAGTCCTGTAGTGATGCCAGGAGTCCTGCAGCGAGGCCAGGAGTCCTGTAGTGAGACCAGGAGTCCTATAGTGAGATCAGGAGTCCTGTAGTGATGCCAGGAGTCCTGTAGTGATGCCAGGAGTCCTGTAGTGATATCAGGAGTCCTGTAGTGATACCAGGAGTCCTGTAGTGATATCAGGAGTCCTGTAGTGAAACCAGGAGTCCTGTAGTTAGACCAGGAGTCCTGCAGTGAGACCAGGAGTCCTGTAGTGAGACTAGGAGTCCTATAGTGAGATCAGGAGTCCTGTAGTGATGCCAGGAGTCCTGCAGTGAGACTAGGAGTCCTATAGTGAGATCAGGAGTCCTGTAGTGATGCCAGGAGTCCTGTAGTGAGACCAGGAGTCCTGCAGTGATACCAGGAGTCCTGTAGTGAGACCAGGAGTCCTGTAGTGATGCCAGGAGTCCTGTAGTGATACCAGGAGTCCTGTAGTGATACCAGGAGTCCTGTAGTGAGACCAGGAGTCCTGTAGTGATACCAGGAGTCCTGTAGTGATACCAGGAGTCCTGTAGTGAGACCAGGAGTCCTGTAGTGAGACCAGGAGTCCTGCAGTGAGACCAGGAGTCCTGTAGTGAGACCAGGAGTCCTGCAGTGAGACTAGGAGTCCTGTAGTGAGATCAGGAGTCCTGTAGTGATGCCAGGAGTCCTGTAGTGATGCCAGGAGTCCTGTTGTGATACCAGGAGTCCTATAGTGAGATCAGGAGTCCTGTAGTGATGCCAGGAGTCCTGTAGTGATGCCAGGAGTCCTGTTGTGATACCAGGAGTCCTGTAGTGAGACCAGGAGTCCTGTTGTGATACCATGAGTCCTGTAGTGATACCAGGAGTCCTGTAGTGATATCAGGAGTCCTGTAGTGAAACCAGGAGTCCTGTAGTTAGACCAGGAGTCCTGCAGTGAGACCAGGAGTCCTGTAGTGAGACCAGGAGTCCTGGAGCGAGGCCAGGAGTCCTGTAGTGAGACCAGGAGTCCTGTAGTGAAACCAGGAGTCCTGTAGTGATACCAGGAGTCCTGTAGTGATGCCAGGAGTCCTGCAGCGAGGCCAGGAGTCCTGCAGTGAGACCAGGAGTCCTATAGTGAGATCAGGAGTCCTGTAGTGATGCCAGGAGTCCTGCAGCGAGGCCAGGAGTCCTGCAGTGAGACCAGGAGTCCTGTAGTCCTGTAGTGAGAACAGGAGTCCTGTAGTGATACCAGGAGTCCTGTAGTGAGACCAGGAGTCCTGTAGTGAAACCAGGAGTCATGTAGTTAGACCAGGAGTCCTGTAGTGATGCCAGGAGTCCTGTAGTTAGACCAGCAGTCCTGTAGTGAGACCAGGAGTCATGTAGTGAGACCAGGAGTCCTGCAGCGAGGCCAGGAGTCCTGCAGTGAGACCAGGAGTCCTGCAGCAAGGCCAGGAGTCCTGTAGTGAGACCAGGAGTCCTGTAGTCCTCTAGTGAGACCAGGAGTCCTGCAGTGAGACCAGGAGTCCTGTAGTGAGACCAGGAGTCCTGTAGTGAGACCAGGAGTCCTGTAGTGATGCCAGGAGTCCTGTAGTGAGATCAGGAGTCCTGTAGTCCTCTAGTGAGACCAGGAGTCCTGCAGTGAGACCAGGAGTCCTGTAGTGAGACCAGCAGTCCTGTAGTGAGACCAGGAGTCCTGTAGTCCTGTAGTGAGACCAGGAGTCCTGTAGTGATGCCAGACACAGAGTCCTCTCAGACACAGAGTCCTCTCAGACACAGAGTCCTCTCAGACGCAGAGTCCTCTCAGACTCAGAGTCCTCTCAGACGCAGAGTCCTCTCAGACGCAGAGTCCTCTCAGACGCAGAGTCCTCTCAGACGCAGAGTCCTCTCAGACACAGAGTCCTCTCAGACACAGAGTCCTCTCAGACACAGAGTCCTCTCAGACTCAGAGTCCTCTCAGACTCAGAGTCCTCTCAGACACAGAGTCCTCTCAGACACAGAGTCCTCTCAGACACAGAGTCCTCTCAGACACAGAGTCCTCTCAGACGCAGAGTCCTCTCAGACGCAGAGTCCTCTCAGACGCAGAGTCCTCTCAGACGCAGAGTCCTCTCAGACGCAGAGTCCTCTCAGACCTAGAGTCCTCTCAGACGCAGAGTCCTCTCAGACGCAGAGTCCTCTCAGACCTAGAGTCCTCTCAGACGCAGAGTCCTCTCAGACGCAGAGTCCTCTCAGACACAGAGTCCTCTCAGACGCAGAGTCCTCTCAGACGCAGAGTCCTCTCAGACGCAGAGTCCTCTCAGACGCAGAGTCCTCTCAGACGCAGAGTCCTCTCAGACGCAGAGTCCTCTCAGACGCAGAGTCCTCTCAGACGCAGAGTCCTCTCAGACGCAGAGTCCTCTCAGACTCAGAGTCCTTTGGTAGTATGTGCCAAACAAGATGGAAGCCTTTCATATTATGTAGAACACATAAATATATATATATTTACATTTACCTGCTAACGTTACAGCCTGCTAAAGGGAGCTTGCTAACATCTTGCTAATGAGATAGCCGGCTAACGCGACATCCTGCAGTAGTGATCTCTCTGAGGAGACGTTAGCCAACATTGAGTGAACGACATCGAGCTTCGTCCAGAGCTGATAATTAAGTTCTAATACTGTGATGAAACTTTAAGAAAGTCCAGCTCCAGCCTCCGTGTTTATCAGTGCACACGGGGCGGTTGGCGTGCGGTAGGTTTGATGTCATGTGACAGACACCAGGCCCCGTAGTGATTGTGGGTTCAGAGAAGAAGAAGGAGCAGACGGGTTCAGAGCTTCCTGTCAGCAGCAGCTTTAGCATCCCGGGTGCTCACAGGTTTTGATCTACAGACTTTCCACTCGTCTGACGCGAGCAGGAAGAAAAGAGGCTCTACCTCAGAGGTCAGAGGTCAGGGTTTGATCATCTCTTACAGAAGTGTCCGTACCTTTGACTGTTAGCCTTTAGTAATAAAACATGCTCTGATTGGAAGCTGAACTCAGAACATTGTTTACTGTTTGATCTTTACTAAACATTACAACTTTTATTAACAGCTCAGGCAGCTCAGTCCATGAGATGACCCCGCCTTTATTTCAGACAGGCTCCAATACGAGACGGGTCTTTACTTATTTTCAACTCAAGGTCTCGGTGGACTCTTAAGGACTCTAAGGACTCTGAGGACTCCGAGGACTCTGGGGTCTCTGAGGTCTCAGTGGACTCTGGGGTCTCAGTGGACTCTTAAGGACTCTGAGGACTCCGAGGACTCTGGGGTCTCAGTGGACTCGGTGGACTCCTAAGGACTCTGAGGACTCCGAGGACCCTGTGAACTCGGTGGACTCTGAGGTCTCAGTGGACTCCGAGGACCCTGTGAACTCGGTGGACTCTGAGGTCTCAGTGGACTCTGGGGACCCTGTAGACTCGGTGGAAAATGTTACGAGTGAAACTCTGATTTACTAGCGCAAGTGAATGCAGCACAAATGACGCTTCCCACTCCTTTCTGTTCCATTCAGCATCTCATGTACGGAGGCCCAGGAGGGACGATGGAGCAGCTTTACGAGGAGAAGCCTGTGTTTTATTTTGAAGGAGACAGGATACTGACTCCATCTTTAAAATAATATTTACAAATTCAGTTTCCCCAAAAAGTTAGTTTGCAGTAAATATAATCTTCTGAATGTTGCTCCCTGTTTGTTTTGGGTGAACTCGTTCTGTGTTTCGCTCGCTCAATAAAGGATGCAATAACATTGGTTTCCAACCTGGGCTCCTCGCCAAAGATCTCAGGGGGGGGTCGCGAGGCTTTGACTGCTCAGAAGTTGTGGAAAGAAGTTGACTAAAGTCTGAAACTTCTTGAGAAGTTCATTCAGTCTGGATTGTGTTGATGTTCATTTCTTTGGGCCATGTTTCATTTTTCCAGATTGGGGGCTATTTGGGGGTCCCAGCTCGTGGGGGGGGCTCTAAGGAGTAACAGTTTGGAAACACTGGTCTAAGCAAACCCGCCTATAACACATGTGAATCCTCTGATAGACCACGCCCCCTTTAGAAGAAGAAGAAGTTTGACAAACCTCCTCAGTTCTGTCTGCAGGGCGAGCTTCTTTCTAGCTCACCTTTTGTTGCTGCCTGAACAGAAAGCCCCCCCCCCCCATGCTCCTGCAGGGGATCCAGGAAGAATGGACTGTTCTCATTTGTTTGGATGCTTCAATATTTCAGATGTCCTGGTTTTGTAAGACTGTGATCCCCCAGGGTCCAGGTGAAGGCTTCCCTCCCATGATACCTTGCACAAGAAGAGAATCAAAGACGCTGACGGGAGTTTTCACTTTTTGTTGTTCTGTACAGTGCGTGTTCTCGTGTGAACACGGCGGTCTGTGAGACTCTCTGTAGACCGGGTCACAGGGTGGAGGATTCTGGGCCTATTGAGACCAAAGTGAAGAGAAAGGAACCTGTGGAGGCTCATGGATCAGTGGTGTGTGGGGTTAATTGTGAGTCAGAAAGTGAGGTGGTCAGTGGAGTGGAGGACTGAGTGACAGCTGGATCAGCTTCACTGGGTTTCCTTTCAGCTGGATTGAGGACGGCATTCCTTCTAATCAATAAGAGAACAATGCACGCTCTCTCCCCATCAAAAGGACCGTGTCTATTCAAAACAACCTTTTTATTCATCAAATACTTCTTCTAGTTAAGCCTACACATCGACTGAATTCATAACTCTGAGTACAGAACATCTGAGAGGCCTCCCAAAGCAACATGGCCGACCCAGCTGGCCACTCATGTTTGATTGACACCCTGCCAGGGGGCAATGGGGGGGGGGGCCTGATGGACAAGTGGCATTTATGAGGCAATTACATGAAAGCCCATTGAGGGCAGCTCAGCGTAGTTTAGGGACGGCTCAGAGTGGCCGACGCTGGCCGGCTGAATGAAAGCACAAAGGCTGAGCCGGGCATTGTACAACAGCTCCTCATATTTCCAGCATATTGATCAGCTCCCTCTTTATCTGCTGCTTTATTCTCTTCCTGCTTTGTGCATCAAGTCCATTAGCAATTCTGCAGACCGAGCTTAAGAGTATCAAGACTCACATTGTTGGGGACAAATGTCATGCTCCCTCCTTCCCTTCAACCCAGAGCTGCTTTCAGACGAGGACTGCAGATCTGCCTCGGAATCAATGATTTTTTTTACCCGCTGCCCAATCCCCCTTTTCTCCCCTCGCGCTCCCCTCCATTACTGTTTTCACGATGTGCAGTCGGGGAGAGAGGCCAGCCACACCCCTCCGCTGAGTGGCACTCAGTGAGGGGATGAATAGAGGAAGAAAAACCCTGCCTGGTACTTCCCCTAATGAGCAAATCAATGCATCTGAGAGAGAGAGGGAGAGAGAGAGAGAGGGAGAGAAGGGGGGAGGGGGAGAGGGGGGAGAGAGAGAGAGAGAGAGTCTGTGTGGATCGGAGGATCAGTCCAAAACACTCACACAGAATCAGTATGCTCTGAATAGGAGCATTCTTTAACTTAGCACAACAATATATCGGAGCGTCTCATTGGACCGAGCTGTGATTCATTCAGCAGTTTGATCTGCTCGCTCGCCTCTCGTTAGCGTTGAGCCCCGTAATGGTTGAACCTGCCTCATGGCTTCATCTTCACGTAACCCATAGCAACCACATGTGAATGTCTTTTCAGCGAGCCCGAACTTCAAACACCTCAAACTATTCTCGCTCTGCCAACAGATGAACGGTGCACCTTCAAACCCCCCCCCCCCTCCGCCTCTCATGGTAGAGTGGCCCTGAAGTAGCTGTGGTGGGTGGGTGTGGCAGAAAAGGGGCGATGAGGGTCTATAAGCTATAAGCACCCAGACCCCCACACCCAAGCAAGGGAATGAATCGGGTTGGGGGGGGGGGGGGGGGGGGCTGACAGACATTTGTTTTCATGACTAAATGGGAACGTCCCGGGCACATTGGTATCATGTAGAGAGTGGCGTCGGCAGTGTGGGGCCCTCCAATAGTCTTTGTCCCAATCAGAGAATTTGTAGCAGTTCATGCCTTCATAATGAGGTTAAATGAAGCGAAGAGATGAAAACACAGCAGAGCCGCCCGGTCTGCACCGTGTCTCTGAAAACATCTCCGCAGCCCGCCATATTCTCCATGACCACACGAGAGAGAGAAATACTTCAGTCAGGTTTACACACCCACACTGACGTCCATATTATTTATTCAGGAAAGGATCTTCTGAATTAAGTTGTAGTTGTGTGTGTGTGTGTGTGTGTGTGTCTCTGTCTGTCTGTCTATCTGTCTGTGTGTGTGTGTGTGTGTGTCTCTGTCTGTCTGTCTGTGTGTGTGTGTCTCTGTCTGTCTGTCTATCTGTCTGTGTGTGTGTGTCTGTCTGTCTGTCTATCTGTCTGTGTGTGTGTGTGTGTGTGTGTGTGTGTGTGTGTGTGTGTGTGTGTGTGTGTGTGTGTGTCTGTCTGTCTGTCTATCTGTCTGTGTGTGTGTGTGTGTGTCTGTCTGTCTGTCTATCTGTCTGTGTGTGTGTGTGTCTGTGTGTCTGTGTGTCTGTGTGTGTGTGTGTGTGTGTGTCTCTGTCTGTCTGTGTGTGTGTGTGTGTGTGTCTGTCTGTCTGTCTGTCTGTCTGTCTGTGTGTGTGTGTGTGTGTGTGTGTGTGTGTGTGTGTCTGTCTGTCTGTCTGTCTATCTGTCTGTGTGTGTGTGTGTGTGTGTGTCTCTGTCTGTCTGTCTATCTGTCTGTGTGTGTGTGTGTGTGTGTCTGTCTGTCTGTCTGTCTGTCTGTCTGTCTGTTTGTTTGCTTCTACAGTTTTGGAGGTTCTGCTCTTAGAGCTTTTGTTTCCTTCAGGTCTGGGGGATCAGGCTGGGGGATCAGGATCCGGGGGCTGACCCCCCCATCATGTGGTTTACATTACTGAGACTATAACTCAAAGTCCACATCACTTAGAGTCCCACAGCCCGGACTCTGCCCCCATAACTCACCGGCTCTGTCTCCCGCTTGTCTTCAGGTAGATGAAGGAGGGCAGGAGTTGGTTTGATAAATGTTTGTAGATAATGTGGTGATGAACCGGTTCATATCCACGTCAAGGGGGGCGTCTGCTGAGGCCTGGTGCCCGTCCTGACCTCACATTAGTATCTGGATCTTTACTCTTAGTACACAGGGAGCTTATATTATAAAGTACTACATATATAAAGTAAAGCCGGGGGTCCTGCAGACCCCTCTGCTGTCACTCTGAAGGATGTAGTGAGAGACCGTCTCAAAGCGGATCATGGTAACCACCGACGCCCGACGGCCTCTAATGGGAAACACATTCTGCGTCCTCATCGTCTAATTAAAGCGTCCGGTGTCCGAGTCCTGAAGACGCGTCTTCCTGATGAAAGTAACATGAAAGTATTCTCACTGACCCCTCACTCCTTCTTCCTGTCACTTTTGTTTCCCTCAGATCTGGTTTGCATTCGTCAACGGCTTCTCGGGTCAGATTCTGTTTGAGCGCTGGTGCATCGGCTTGTACAACGTGGTGAGTAATAAAACGTTCTCTCTGAACGTGACGCCTTGGTCCTGTTGCTCTCTCTTGATCTCTTTATTCTGGCGGTTTGTCATCGCCGCTTAAAGACGTTCTTTATGTATGACCTGTTGGCATCCATTTTCCTGCTGTGCCCTGAACTATGTTCTGAATATGAAAGCACAGAGAGTAAAAATAGTTCTGTATATATATATTTAGTTCTCGTTTACTGCACATAGTTATGTTTCCATCTGTTAGTCCAATCACTGTCCTCTTATATCTACTCTTTTTATATTTTTAAGTTGTATTTAAATTGACACTTTATATTTTAGGTTTAAAATGTTTAAATGTTTAAAATGTTAATTTACTGCTCTGTGTGCCTTCGAATTGCCCCCTGGGGACAAATAAAGTTTTTTGAATTGAATTGAATTGAATTGAGTAAAAAGAACGAGCTGGAGTCCCACAGGGCTCTATAATGGGACCACTCCTAATGAACTCATATTTCATATCTGTCATGACCGAAGTAGAGGTGGAAAATGTTCATCTGTCTGATCTTTAATCTGCCGTAAAGTCGATGTGTAACCCGTCACTGTTTATAAATTAACTCAGTGATACGAATGAGAGACGTGCGACGGGACGACTTCCCACAATCCTGATTGGTCTCAACTGGAAGAGGAGAGACAAACAGAGGAACAGTCCACAGCTCGGCCTCATGTGTTCATGTCAGAACATATCTGTAGTTGGGAGTGGGAGTGGGAGAGGGGGAGTGGGAGAGGGAGAGAGAGAGAGGGAGTGGGTTCATTCTCTCACTCCAAACTGGGAGGAATTCCTCGGGCTCAGTGGGAGTCTGTTGGAGGCAGTGGACTGAATCCTCCCCTCTTCAGTGGAGCCTGTCCTGTGGCCCAGTGGTCATGCAGACTCCCACTGACCCCCCCGACCATACACTACTATCACTCAACAACATTACAACACTGAGACCGATATGAAGAGGCAGAAAGCACGACCAATCAGAACAAAACACCCAGCAGGGTTAAAGGTCAGAGGTCGTTAATGATGAGGTAACGAGGGAGGCATCAGCTGTTAACCAGGAGAGGTCAGACTACAGACCACGTCCAATATTTAAATATATGTTCTGTATGTGAGCAGGTTGGAGACCACAGGTAGGGGGGACTTTTATAAATTAAGTGGTTCTTAACTGGTCTGACCCCTGGACCCCCCACCCCAGACCCCCTCCACCTCCTTCATGAAAAGTCCTGAATTTCTGATATTTTTCAACCAATCAGATTTGTTCAGTTTGGACCTGAGACGTTACAAACCTGTAGGAGAAGCGCTTCATAGACTTTAGCGACCCGCTGAAAATGTTTCTGCGACCCGCTTTTGGGTCCTGAGCCACCAGTAGAGAAACCCTGCTTTAATAAAAGCGTCTCTCCTGTCTCCTGTGGTTGTTTGGTGCAGATCTTCACGGCTCTGCCTCCGCTCACTCTGGGAATATTCGAGCGTTCCTGCAGGAAGGAGAACATGCTGAAGTACCCAGAACTCTACAAGACCTCCCAGAATGCAATGGGCTTCAATACCAAGGTGAGTCTCTGACACATGCAGGTCAAAGGACACACACACACACACACACACACACACACACACAGACACAGACACAGACACACACACGCACACACACACACACACACACACACACAACACACAGACACACACAGACACACACACAGAGACACACACAGACACACACACACACACACACGCACACACAGACACACACACAGACACACACACAGACACACACACACACAGACACACACACGTACATACCGGAGACACACACACACACACACACACACACACACACACACACAGACACACACACGGTGAGAACAGTCGCCATCTTCTCCCTCTGCACGCCACCTGACACGATGGGAGACTCGCCTTCATTCATTGTGTGTTTTTTTATTTTGTATTAACCTTTATTTAACCAGATAAGAACCCATTGAGATCAGGATCTCTTTCACAAGGGTGACCTGGCCAAGTGGTCAGCAGCACATGTCATAAGAACAGTTACAATGAAGTGACAGTACAGAGTAACAACATGGTGTTTTCAATAAACAGAAAGTGTGGGAGCTGTGACACAACAATAAAACAACTATTTAAGATTTTAAAAACACAGGCACTGTTCAATAGTCTCACTGTCTGTCCCTCAAGACAGAACGCCTCCAAGTGGAATAAGTTCAGGGAGTTTTAGTTCAGTCTGTAGAGTATTCTGAAAGCTCTTTTTCCTGATTCAGTCTTACCGGAGGAACAGATAGAACAAGTGTAGTACAAGAACGCAGGGCATAGCGACTGCTTGTTCTCCGTAATAAAGCACACAAATATAAAGGAATCAAGCCTAAAAGAGCCTTATCAATTAGGGTCAGCCAATGTGCGTATCTGCGTGCACTCAAAGAAGGCAAGTTGGATTTCAAATACGATTCATAATGGTGGGTGAGACGACTACAGCCAGTGAGAAATCTCAGTGCCGAATGAAAAATAGTGTCCAAGGACTTGAGACATTTGGATGACGCACTCAAATAAAGCACGTCCCCGTAATCAAGAATGGGCAAGAAGGTCGCTGTCACTAATCTCTTTCTGACCCTGAGAGAGAAGCAGGTTCTATTTCTAAAAAAGAACCCAAGCTTCATGCGAAGTTTAGTGACCAGATTATTGAGCTTTAAATGAAAGCTCCTGATCTAGGATAAAACCCAAGTACTTGTAGTTTAAAACTTGCTCTATAGGTTTTTCTTTAGATGTTGCAATATGTTCTGTGGTAACACCTTTGTATTAGGGAAAACCATGAGCTTGGTTTTATCTGTGTTTAATACCAATTTAAGATCATATAAACGAGACTGGATAACATTAAAAGCAGCTTGTAAAAACTCAAAAGCCTGGGTGAGTGAGGTTGAACAGCAATAAATAATGGTGTCGTCTGCATAAAAATGATACATTGCATTTGACAAGTTATTACAGAGATTGTTTATATAGCTTGAAAATAAAATGGGTCCCAGCACTGAACCTTGGGGCACCCCTTTAGTAATGTCCAGAAAGGAAGAGGCAGTTCCAGCCACCTGAGCACATTGTGTTCTGTTGGATAGATAATTGGCAAACCAGGCAGCTGCATGTTTAGATAAGCCAGTGTGATGTAAGGCTTGAATCAGCAGGTTGTGGTCTACTGTGTCAAATGCTTTTGAAAGATCTGTCCAGAGCTTCAATTACCGTATTGGTCCGAATATAAGACGACCCTGATTATAAGACGACCCCCGTTTTTCAACACTCATATTTAGAAAAAAAAGATTTGCAGAACTTTTTTTAAAGAACTTCATTTAATTTGAAAATAACAATATTAAAAACACATTGAATTAAACACCTGTTGTATTAATAATCATAATAATAATTAACATACCGTATTTATCTGTATAGGCCTACGGCACTTTTCAAAACAAAGTGTTTCACAAGGGCGAACTATGTACAGTATGATTCAACATTAAAATCGATTAACAATCAAACAATATTATCAACATGTTTTTAACATTTTGAAATAACAGGAAATACAGGCAACGTTTTTAACTAAACTACCGCTAAACTAAAACTCTCCAAACTTGTCCTCCGATGTCTCCTGTACACACATCCTCCGCCCCGCTGTGTTCGCTCTCACTGTCATCACTCCCCTGCTCCTCCCAGAGCGCATCATGTGTGTTGACATTTAAAGGGACAGGCGAACAATTAGAGCTGCGCTCTGAATACTAGACCCCGAAAATAAGACGACCCGACTTTTTCGGACCTATTTCGATGGGGAAAAAGGCTGTCTTATATTCGGACTAATACGGTAAATCATTTAGGACCTTCAGCCCAGCTGTAACAGTGCTGTGCTGTTTTCTAAAGCCAGATTGGAGAGGAGATAAAATATTATTTGATTCTAAAAATTCCTTTAGTTGGTCACTGATGATCCTCTCAAACAATTTAGCTAAAATACACAATTTAGAAATTGGTCTATAGTTATTTACATTTGTGGGTTCACCCCCTTTTAACAGGGGGAGAACAAAGGCCGACTTCCAGATTTTAGGAATTTTGTTGCTGGTAAGACTCAGGTTAAAAATATGTGAGAGAGGCTCAGCAATAAAACCAGCAGCAAACTTTAGGAAAAATGTTTCAATGTTATCAGGTCCTGCTGCTTTACTTGTGTCCAGCCTCTTTAGTGCATTGTTTACCTCAGTGACAGATACAGACGTAAACTCTGTGGGTCCACTCACAGCCTGCGGAGTCAAGGGTGTGTTAAAACCAGCCAGACCAGCAGTTGTCAGTTCAGGGTTTAGTGACTCAAACGAGGATCCAGTGGAAATAAAATGATCATTAAAACAATTTAGTGTGTCTGTCTTATCAGACAGTGTACCAGATTGATTAATTAAAGAACTTGGTAAGTCATTAGTTGTCACATGAATTGCGCGCTGTACGACTATCGAGTAGCGTGCAGGTGGGTAGTGGGATTACTAACGGCCCCTGGTGGTCACAGGTGGTACTGAAAGAGATCTGCATCGTCTAACGTGGAGAATAACGGCGTGCAGCAGAGGTCAAATGTTCCCGCTCTTACGACTCATGAACATCAGACGAGACGAGGGAAACATCGTTTAATGATGTTTGAGTTAATGACTCGAGATGTTTCCCTCGTCTCGCTGTTCGTATCGGAGGCGTCTCGGGTCACAGCGACCTGGCAGCTGCAGTCAGAGCGTCTCCACTCGCCGCCCGCCGTGGCCTGGTATGACCTTTTGTGTCTCGCCGCTCTGATAATAAAGATGTCTCCTTCTGAGACCCTCCTCACAGGCGTGGCGACCTGGTTAGTGCTGCATGGCGGTGGATTAAAGACGGATTGGCCGTGGCGGTCAGGGGCAGAGGAGGTCAGGAGGGCTGGGGGGCGTGCAGTAGAGAGAAGCGGGGGGAAGAAAGAGAGTGTGCTGTCATTGTTTGACGCCGTTTGTTTAAGTGAGGGAGATGTTTGTTCTGGCAGCGAGGCTGTCAGGTCGAGTTTAAAGCTGTGTTCTGATTGGCTGAGGAAAGTTACGACCAAACAGCTGAAACATTTAAACCTGAAGTCAAACTCTGATTTAAAACTAAAACAACAAAACTGTAACTCCTCCCCCTCCAGTCGTC